TTTATATTTATATTTAAATATTTTTGCACCCCTTCCCTCAACACATCCAACTTGGGGTGACTGAAATGAAAAGGCTGAAGGTATAGGGGTTGTAGAACTTCTAGTCCAGAAGCAAATATTTGATTGATTGACTGATTGATCAGGAAATTAAGTAAGATGAGTTGCTGCTTTCCTCTTTTTTTTTTATATTATTGTAAAATCACCATCACAGGTTTTTCACTGCTGGTCATACAAAACAAACCATTTGAAGACATCCCCTTGGGCTGTCTTTGTGATGGACATTTTCTGTTGACATTTTATAGTTCAAACAATGAAAGCAGACTAAGAATCTGTCACCATGATGTGAATTTCATTAGTTTTGCAGGTATTTTATCATACGCCAAGGTATGATATTGGACATATTGAGATTCTGACCTGATGACGGCACTAGAGGGAAAGTTAAAGGTCTAGTGTGCAGGATTTCGTAGCAGAATTTTAACTTCTCCCATGTGCCCAGTGTGTAGGAGAATGAGGATGGCCAATGCAAAAAATGCAAATGGTCCTATTTCACCAAATTGTTGTGGAGAAATTTCACTACAAATGTCAACCTCATGGTGGCACTAGACAGAAGGTCAGGGAATTACCAGTCAGTAGAATTCAGACTTGAGTGTCTGTAAAAACAACATCAACAAAAAAACACATACTTTTCCTTTTTTACTTTTAGTAGGTCTTGCAGCTGTAATTAAAAAGTACATACTGTTGAACCCGCAGAGCTCTGCTGCCGTTACTTTGCAATGTATGTAGTTTGACTTTAAAGATATAACTGCACAGGTTGTAGATTCTAATATTTGCGACAGTGAAATCACATCTGCAGTTCTGTCGTTCATTTTCATAGTTATGTCCTATTGTTTGTGATATTCACAATTGTTCACTTAAACAATTAATATTTCTATCATTACTATTCGACTGGTCATCAGTTACTTGAATCTGCTGTCATCCATCATTGGGACGTATGACAACTGTCAAATGATTTGTCAAGCTGTCATGTGTTTGCAGCTCAGTCAATGTGACATATCGTCAGCTGTGCAGAGGATTGTGGGTAAGAATAGCAAGAAACGCACGCTGGTTTGCATACTGCAAAATCTGATTGGATGTTGTAGAACTTCCTGGTATTTTTGGCCTACTGCATTTGACATTCAATGTATTGGGACATACTCAATCTTTTTCTGGCATTCTTTATTCGTATGGTAGTATGGGTACTGAAACATACAGAAGATGTTGTTGGCAAGAAGATGGTGGATCATGAGACTAAGGTAAGAACAACTTCCCAAAATAACCATTTAAACTGAGCTGCATGTAAGACTGGAGTGGAAAATTAGCTTTTGTATGGCTTGAAGGACGGGGGCAGAACTTGAAGTAATGATGAAAGTAGAATAAAGACAGAGGAAGTGTAAGTAGGCAGGCTGAAGTGGTAGATTGGTCAAACAAACACAGGACTAAACCTATAACTAACCAATGTAACTTTACTTTTAGTATGTAACATCATTTGTGAGGTGCTAATTGGTTAGATCATACAAACTCTATAGTTCCTTTCTCTTTTGAGCTGCTGTTATATTGTGCTATATAAATTTATTTGCATAGACTGTATATATAGGGTCTTGATGATAAAGAATTCTCATAAATTATTTGTTGTTTTGGATCGACAAGTATCTAGTTTCATTGAATTGTTGTATGGTATTCCACCATGTCATAACATGAGTTAATCTGTAATCCATAACTTCCCACTGACTGTAAAATGCTATGTTTTAGAGAAAGTTGGTGTATTATATATATTTTTGCAGCATGTATTGTTTGTGTGTGTGACTGTTAGCTGGTGTGTGTGGAGTTGCTGTAATGAGATTTTGGATGGTATCATAAATGTTGCATGAAATGTGGGCCACAGGAAGAGCAGCTCTAATGAAGCTCACAGGGATCTTAATGAAATGAAATCAAATTAAACATTATTGCTCTTGAAGGTGATCTCTCACACACACAATAACCCAAAACAAATATCTAACTATTGATCAGAGGCATTTAAACATGACTGATCGACCAGCAGGCGCCTGTCACAGCGTCTTTATTTGATTTTTTTTTGTTGTTGTCAGCCAGACATGAGCTCAGCTCGAATGGCCCACCTAGCTCCATATACATATAGATACACAACTTCCCCCTCCATCCCCCATCCCAACACACTTCACCGGCAGGTTACCATGGAAACAGGCTCAGTATCCACCTCCTCCACAGTCACTTCCTGATTGTCTTTGGATCCCTGCATCCATCCATCCATCCCCCCTCCTCTCCCATCGGCATTCTCCCCTCTCCCTCCCCCGCCCCCATAGCCCTCACGCACACACATTTATACAATATTTTACAGCCCTGACACAAATGAAAGAGTACAGGGATGATTTTACTGACTAATATGACAAAATGTGAATAAATGAGCAACATTTAGAGGCTGTTATTCTAAGTAATTTAACCAAATCAGGTTTGTCCTTGCATCACTGTCTGCCCTACCATTTTAGATCATAATTCATTGATAGTTTGAGGCAGTACAGATGTGTAATGCTGCATTACGCAGGGAAAAATATCAGAATACAGCAGACAAAACTCTTTATGGCATTGTAGACATACATTTCTCAAATTTTGCTTGAATAATTAATATTCTAATGTCTTTTTCTGATTAACAGCACCATGAAATGTGGCCTGATTGACAATCTCATTTCCAAATACATATACAATATCTTTTCTATTTGGGCTGAATATCAAATTTAATTTACTAATGGTACAGTTGCATGTACTTCACTTCACTTGACTAGACACGATTTCATTAAGCCTCAGAGCATTTCGAGTAATTTTTTTTTTAATAACAAACTGGGTCAATTATGGACCCAGAAAGCGATGACTAAACACACAATCGTCAGTGTGCATCTGTAAACGGTTGAGACGGGGAAGGAAGTGGGTTAACACAGATTTAAAATTCACTGAATTCAGCATCTGACTGTAATTTGTGCCACATTTTAACCCTTTCCCCTATCATTGCGTTTATATTTCTGAGTAGGCTTCAGTGTTTGCTGAGAATGAGTGTGAAAAAGAGCCTCTCCTTTACAACAAAATGTCAAACATTTTCTGGCTCTATCTTCCCAAATGTGAGGATTTGCAGTTTTGAGGACAAAAAAATCAATTTGAAGATGTCATTTGGTCTCCAAAATTGTTGCATCCCTTAAATGATCCAGGGCTGACATCTCAATTAACTTCCACAAGTACATTTCTGAGACATAATCAGATATTACCAATGATATGGTTCATGTTTGGGTCATGAAACATTTTGTACACAATGGGAGTAAAAGTCACGTAAAAAAATGGTTTAAAACAAAACAGATCTGCTGAACATTGGTAATAAATGTTGTTTTATACACTGATAAAGGGCTGCTCTGCGCTCTCCTCCATCTATCAGGGGGGTTCAGCTGCAACTGGATCTGTGGCATGAATAATACAGTGATAATTAGTCAGCCTGACCCCCACTGTCTGCTGCTCTTAACCTCTAGCAAGTAAAAGAACCCAGTGACACTAAACTGTACACACCTGACTGCAGGCTGCTGTCTAAACAAGTCACTGAGGTACACTTCAACTTCAACAGTCGACCTTTAAGCAGGTGTGTTTTACTGTGTATGTTCAGTACTTACTGTACTGTATGCTCAAGCTCTAGTCTTCATCATCATCACACGTGTATTAGTCTAATATTAGGTGAGTGAATGATTGAATCATTTTTTTTTTCATTAAAGGAATACATTAAATAAAATGACAATTTGTAAATCCATTACTCACTGAGTGTTACGCTGAATTTAGAAAATTTGTTTTTCTTGCACGCCTCCACGGTGAATGGGGAACCCAAAAACAGAGAAAAACTGCAGCAAAACTATATTAAAACACAACTGGATAAATGAGACTTGGATTGTATTGTACAAGTTGTGTCGGAGTTTGTAAAAGGATGTTTTTGATTTTGCTGTGGTTAAAGGTATTCCCGTCTTTAGCAGGATTTATACTTCTGCATTAAATCAACGCCGCACATACGGTGGAGGCTCTGCGTTGATGTTGCGCATACTCAGTACCCTACGCCATAGCCTGACGTGCACCTCCCCAGAAATGTAACTACACGTCACAGCAACACAGACCTCCTGACTTTTTCTGTGAGCTGACACCATTTCCCTCAGTGGAAATGAAGCTTTTATTTACTTTATTATCACAGGTAAGAAACAATAAATTGTGAAGACAGTAAAGCCTCCACTAAAACAGAATTTTAAGTCTTGTGTGTGATTTAGCCTGGCTTCATATGAGTAGACGGAATCACCGCTAGGCTAATTTATAGAATGTAAAATGCCATAGGCTTGTGCTAATAACGTAAGCATGTGGTATTTGTTTGGAAAGCATGTTTAGCATAAGACAGTTGTTTTGTCAGTGAGTTGTAATGGAGCCGAATTTTGTAACGTTACCTTTGTTTAATGTTGCTGTTGTCCCTGGCTTCATATGAGTAGAGTAAAAGTCCTCTAGCCCCTAAGCTAGTTTCTACAATGTAAAATGCCATAGGCTTGTGCTAATAACATTAGCATGTTGTATTTGTGGGGAAAATGTGTCCGGATTAACACAAGTGCTTTGTGAATGCTGCGAGTTATGGTGAAGCTGATTTGTGTACGTGTTTGAAATTGTCTATCTTAAGCCGTTTAATGTGTGTTTAAGGTGTGTTTTGAATTAACTTAACAGCACTTCACAGAAACCCTGACACCGACTACTGCAGCACGACACAGACACACCACAGCACAAGTTTAGATGCTCACAACAGAGTAGGCCACGTGCATAGGCTAGGGTGTAGGCTCTATATAGAGCTCATGCACAAGTATAAACCCTGCTTTACTCCAATTCATCAAGAAAGTTTGCTGTTTTTGGATTATTTGTTTACCGGTGTAATTGATACACAAAAGGTCAAATTGTGGGTGAAGTATGCCTTTAATTAAACTTCAGGTATCTTTGAGTGTGTGACTAAGTTTTTAAGTAAAACACTTAAATAAGTGTCATCATCATTAAGACAAGGTGTTTTTGTTCGCTGATTCAACAGTTGTTTAGCTGGTTCCCAATCAGAGGAGAGAACAGGGTTTGTTTGGTCCTCCATCTCAATCTGAGGGCACAAAGAGAACTTCCTCTTTGAATGGAAAATGCATGACAAGATGTCCTGAGGGCCAGCACACCATCAAACACAGTGAGACTAATTTTTTCCACTTAGTCCATTGCTTCTTAAATTCTGGGTAGTGGTCACACATACAAGAGAAAAAAATATATAAGTGTTTTGTAGTCAGTCATGCCATGGTCGAGTTGCACTGGTGAGTTACGTGGAAATGTAGGGTACAGAATTAGTCCTGATTTGGCCAAAAAAACATATTACATATTACACTTATTACATTATCTCTGAGGTTTTAACAACATTATGGTGTCCTGCATTGGATGGACATAATCTAATTTCCACCCAGCTCCAGAAAAAGATTTATTTTTGGTCAAGCTCATGTTTTCCCACTCATTTAAGTAATGTTTTTACCATTATTTAACAACTGGACACTGATCTGATAGAGCTGTGGTGTCACGATTCCTGATTTTAATGCCCATGTATGTTTACCAATATAAAATTCCGGTAAAATAATTTTTTGAAGTGTGATACGTCTCATTGTTTTTTCATTTTAATGAGATAATTAAAGTTTTGCTTTTTAAATCAGACACGGTGGAGGAATAATGACACAACAGGTGTAATAAAGGTCATCATTTAGGTTTCAGAGCACCTCATCTGACCAACAACACACCACATCATATGTTACATCAATACTTTCTACTGACTTCGTTCATTTCTTATCCGATGGTCTCCACTTTTACACAGAATACAGACCAAACCTGCCCCTGAAGCCCCGCCCCCCACCAATACCTGAAATATTTACACTGATATCTTACAGGGGATTCAAGCAGTTTGTGAGCTTTCAGATCTGTATTAGACACACAAACAGGCAATCATACAGCCCTGTGCACACACACACACACACACACACACACACACACACACACACACACAGCCTTAAAAGGATGATTAGAGGTTCAAACATGCAAAGGAAGAAAGGGTCCTGGTGGGTCTTTACATCCGCAGAACAGGAGGAAGTGGTGTTTTACAGAGTTTCTGAGGTTCATCAGGTCATTTAGTTTCCTGTCCTGAACATCACCTCCTCGTTTCTCTTTAATGTAGTCTGTCACCTGTCTGGATTTAGCACAGGTGGAGGTGTGTGTTTGTGTCCCAGCTGCGGAAGTCTTTCAGAGGATCACTGGCCAAAACGCGAAGAGAAAAAAAAACAAAGAGGAAGCAGAGGAATAAAATAAATAACAATTAAAAAACTCCTCTTGACTAAGCTTTACTGCGCCGTCATGGGTGTGGCAGTGTGACACGCTGCCAGGGAAACATTAGAAGAAGAGGAGGTGATGGATTTTGGGGTCTGGCACCTGCAGAAAAACAAACAAACACAAATAAGTAAACATTAAAATCAAAATATGGATAATGTATAATCTCTGTCTTTACATACAGTTTATACACAGGTTAATAAGATTATCCAGCAACACTGAGATTATAGGCTGCTGAGCAAATGACAGATAAACCATCAGATTAGGACCGCCTACAGAGGGTGTGTCTAATCCTGAATAATCTCATTTGAAGATACAGTGACACTAAACCATTTACACTAGTCAGATGCAGCCCAACAAAGCAGGTTTCTCACATACAAAATAAAGTGTAGTTTGTATCAATGGATGCTATAAATCATAATGGATGAGTTGGGAAAAACTGGCAAACACCAAAGACGGCTATATAAACACCTGCCAAAGTACTTAAAACTGCATCTGTAGCTCCTGCTAAAGTAGATGCCTCCAGGGACCACATTTTGCTATGATGACACACACACACTCACAGCCCAACTCAGCTGTCACCGCTGGTAAATATCAAGTATATATCTGGTTCAGGGGGGTTCAGACTCACCAGGATCGAGACTTGCGGACACTTCTGTCCTTGGTGGGCGAGTTGTCCACAGAGTGACTTTGGTTCGGCTCCGACTCCGCTGATCGATCCAGTGAGGCGGTGTTTGGAGGGGTCATGTCGAGCTCCAGGAACATGATGTTCTCAGCCTGCACACACATTAATATGAAAGATGTAACGTCACACCAATCGTAGCTGCAAAGCACACGCTGCAAATCTCTAATAATTAATTTTAAAGTACTATTATACTACACACAAGAATTTGCATGCTCTAGTATAGTAGGTAAGTGCACTTTTAAATCCGTCTTGTTCTAAAAGCCCTCTCTTTGTTGCCAGTATGGGTCCTTTAGGTGTACTGGCACCTTGGCTCCACTTAGAATCACCCCTGCTGACACCCCTGCTGCTGTTTGCAAATCTCATCTGAAATGTTGTACGATTCATTAGTGCTTTCTACCTCTTGTCGAGGTTTTACTGTTGCTCAAGTCCTCTCATTATCTGTGGAAATCACTTTGTGCCTCTTGCTAACGCAACGCTCTACAAATTCTTATTGTTAATATTATTATCATGATGAAATAAAACAAAGGTTTCATCCCCATTTCTAAAAGCGTAAAGTAGGGGTGTGCCATATCATCTTGTTCACGATTAATACCAGTCATTTTTAATATGAAAATTTATATTGTGATACTCACAATATTTCAACTTGTTGACATATTGACGTCATACTGTTACCCATGGCAACTATAAGAATGGCTGTAATCAAAATTTTTTACAGACAGGGTTCCAAAAAGTGGAGCAGCTTGAGTAGTGTGGAATAAACTGTGTCCTGAATGTTTTATGAACAGCCCTGGTCTTCTCAGACTCTTTTAGTGAGTTACCGCTCAGAGGGAACTCATTCAGCGGCTCTTCTGGCAGCAGCACAGCGTCTCTCTCTCTCCTCTCTCACTGTGCGCACATGGGAGTCGCTGTCATCAAGTGATTTTGTCATAAACCTTTGTTAATGTAAACCTACGTGATGCTCGTGGATCGACAAAAAAACTACATACACGTGGTTGTGTGATAGTTCTGGTATCATAACAGCCTGTCACAGGTTACAGTGTGATGATTAGAGGAGAAATGGCAGAGCATAAAGGTCCAGGTGGAAAAAAACAACTCAATCATTTAGGATTTTTCTGAAAGAAGGAAATCACCTATTGAATTATATATATATATATAGATCCCATGGGACATTTTTTGTATTTGAGAGCTGTTTAAATGTGTAATTAGTGATTTTATTTAGTTGAAGTACAAACTAAAGAAATGAGAGATCATTTTTGTTTAGTTTTTACTGAATATTTGAAGGCAATCTGTGCGGTTTTTAGATACACAAAAGCTAGATTTTTGGTGGAGTGTTCCTTTAATAATCTTCAGCATCAGCACATCTGCAGTGTTAGGTATTCCTTGACTGTATGCCCTGCGTATAACCACATCTGGCTAGTTTCACCACTCACACACATACACACACACACACACACCAACCCTGTATCTGGAGTGAGGTCCCATCGCTATGGCAACCCTGGCGTACTGGCTGATTGGTCGTTTGTATCCGACTGCAGATGCCGGCCTTTTCTTCATCTGTGAGGATTTACTGAATAGAGGAAGAGAGAGGAGGGCGATCACTGAGAGATCAAGGTCGATAAAGGCCAAAATACATCTTCATGAAGCTCTTGTACAAAAGAAGTAAAATCTGGTTTTCTCTCCAGCTGTGAACGACATCACATCAACACTGTAAAAGCCTGTTTCCGCTATAATAGTGGGGGAGGATTACCGCAAAGAAACAAGAAGAGAATAGCCAGTGACAACAGAGAGCAGGAAGGTCAAAAGGTTGTGAACCCGACTGCAATTAAACACATTTCTGAGTCCATTATTTATACCCGAAGGCCCCAAATGGGAATAACATCCCAATATCTTGAATCCACACTGACCTTTCAGCTGGAACAAGAGGCTGAAACTTCCACTGATCCTCCTCGGGGTCAAAGGTCAGTCTGTTCATGATCTTATTCTTCTCCTCTGGAGGGATGAAGTTCTCTATGATCAGATACCTACATGTGCAGAACACAACGGGTTTATGTTTATGTCTGTGGAGTTACATTGTGTCTGAGGTGTTTGCTAGTTTTCTTTTTTCTCACACTGTAGTCCCTTTTTTGTCTGTTTGGACATAAAATAAATTGATCCTCTTTTGCACCTTAAGAGCATTAACGACATACAAATGGGGAACAATCCAAGTTATGATAGATCTATTTGATATGTGAAATGTTGATATGGATTACTCTTACATTTTGAAATACACTATATGGCCAAAATTATGTAGACACTCATGACCAAAATGTGGAGTGGCACTAAACTTAAGCTAATACATAACATAAATCTGCATTACACTGCATTGAGTTCTGGACTGGAGCTTAATATTAACAGTGGAGCCCCCAGAATTTTTTCACCGGGGTGGCCACATGGGGCCACTGACAATCTTGGGGTGGCACCAAAACCAAAAGCTATAACTGAGTTTCAGGAATTTAATAATGCTGTTAAAGTATATCGACTAGTTGAAAACTATGTCAACATGGAGAGTTAAGGAATCGCATACTGACAGACTTTGGTTTCTTATTTTACAGTAATGTTACAAGTATCTGATGTGCACAAACCAATACTAGCTCCGCAAAAATACTGTTTTCATGTGTTTTGCATGTGTCTATACATGTGTTCAGTAATTCACTGTTTTTCAAATAGGCTGCTTACAAAGACAAATATACAGCTTTAACTTAAAGGAGCCTATTGACTGTAAGGAACAAAACATTTACTGGGAACAAGCCTTCTTAAGTTTAGCGGATACTCGTAGGTACCTATAGAACCCATTTTCATTCAGGTATCTTGAGTTCAAGAGACCACTTTGAAAATGGCCATGCCAGTTGTTCCCTCATCAAAATTTAGCCTAAAGTTGGAGTGTTATGTAGCCCCCTTCTCGACAAGCTATGCCAACATGGTTGGTCCCAATGGGTGCCTTAGGATGTCCAATTTCACAAGATACCACTACCTTCTAGCTTAAAAGTGAGCGTGCCACAGCGTATTACAGACAGTAATATCAGCCTCCAATTGTTTTCGCCAGGGGGGAAGCTATAGTATCAGAGGGGCCATGCCCCCAATCTTAAGTGCTATATTGTGGGCAACTGGACTTGCTTGAGTTTCTTGAAGACGTTTCGCTGTTTCGGAGTTTCAGTCTACTCTGAAACTCAGAGCTCACATGTGACAGGTTCACACCAAATGGAGTTCAAAGCCTGCCACTCTGCACCAGTCCGTTAGAGCTAGAGAAGCCTCTGGGATGTGAGGTGAAACGTCCTCAAGAAACTCAAAGTCCAGTTGCCTACGATATAGCACTTGAGATGAATGTTAATGGCTCCACCTGTGCTTTTTTGGCTATAAAAAGTCTTTGAACAGAAAATCCTGCACACTGCTCTTGCTCAGCTTCACAATTTATTAGTTACACTAACATTTCGGTCCTACTGGACCTTCTTCAAGAGTGTCAAGAGTGTGTTTGTTGAACACTCTTGAAGAAGGTCCAGTAGGACCGAAATGTAAGAGCAAGATAAGTGTGTGGGATTTTCTGTTCGAGGACTCAAGTGATATTTTCCAAAGCACCTGCATCTGAGACAGTAGGTTTTGCAAATATAACTCTTCATACAAAGTGCTATAACAAGTCAAAATGTCTGCTGAGAAACATGGAACAGTGAAAATACAAAAGTGCTTTGTTGCCAGTAAACTGTCAACATTACAGTTAGCAAGATTTTTTTAAGAGATAAAGATAAAACAGTTGCTGTGTTGGTGTCTGATGAGTGTCAGACCACTGGATCTATTACTCAAACTTTCTTTTTCATTGTCACAATGGTACCTGAAGCAACATGCTGCCACCATAACAGCCCCATAACAGGTGATGCTCAGTGATCAAACAAGTCAGTCAATGTCAAAATATGAAGAAGCTTATCTTCCCTTCCTTTCAGGTTTACTTGTGTCTTTTTGCCAGAGAATTAGCTCTGGGGAAAGTTTACTGAAACATTTCACAAGAGAACCTAATGACAAACAAGTGAAAACAAACATGCAGTTCAAGTTTTTCTGGTTGTTCCATTTTGGTACAAATTTACCCTGCTGCTTGTGTGTACGCAAATGATGTCATGTTAGCAAAAGTGCTAATAAATGAGGCATTGTCGAGTTGTTTTATGACACTGATTTAACAGTGTATAACATCTCTCAGCATCTCTCTGTGTTTCCAGTAATGTCATCTCTATGCAGCGTGCATGTATCTGATGTGTTTGCTGAACCATGCAGATATATTTGCTGATACTGCCGCCTCTTCTGCATGTTTGTGCGACTCACTTGAACTTGAGCTCTCTGGTGAGCTCGTTCTGAGTTTGTTCCAGCTCCTGTCGGCTCCTCACGTGCTCGTCGTTCACGTCCTGGATCTCCGCTTTGATGCACTGAAGCTTGGCATACAGCTACGAGGAGAGAGACACACACAAACAGAGAGGGTGAAGAGGAGAGATGTCACCCAGTGCAGTGTAGTCGCTGATGAACTGTAGCTTGGTTGCCCATAGCAACAGCACTGGAGGCACTGGTGTCAGGAGAAACGGGCAGCCAATCGGAGCACGGCAACGCGGCAGCCCTCTCCCTCTCTCCGGCTCTTTTCCTCCTCTTTCCTCCTGCGCTCCTGAGCTTTCACACTGTTCATGCTTTGACTGTGCCAGCTTTAAACAAGTAGGCTAATCCTGACTTTAGCCCTGGTGTAGTTAGCCTGAGAGATGACACTGCATGTTGAAGTTCATTCACTCGCAGTTTGAGTCTTAACTTCTTTTGAAGGATACAAAAAGTACTCAAAATAATACAAACGTGGCCTATGCAATAAAAACAGTACACTAGGGCTACAATATTCATGGGTATTTCTCTGATGTCTTGGTTTACTCTTTCCTTGAGTTCAGACTGTGAGCAACGTTTCTCCTTTATTCAGTTTACTATCAACTGAAAACATGAGTGCAACTGTCCTCCAAGTGTTGCCTGTGAGAAAATGATTCTTGTCTTTCAAATAAAACTTTTAATTGATAGTTTAGTGACAGATGTATTGTACATGATTGGGCTGTATTGTAATTTAAAGGGATACTTTGCCAATTTTTAACCAGCTTTGTATCACAACAATGTGGGTCGTATGTGTAAATGAACTGTGGTAAACTTCCCTCCATCTTACCAGGACCCAGATCTCCTTGCTTAAATTTTAGCTGGCTCTAGGGCTGTTGATCAAACTACAGATTGTACTTCCGGGTTTATGTATCTCCACCACCACAGAGACAAAGGCTAAAGAAACAGATCAAGAGAAAGACCTGGCCCTCTGTCTCTTTCAAACTCAAATTAAACTCTAAAAGTATACAGCACTGATCAAATATAAACCGAGATTCTGTCACTGTATTGTCTATTTCTTGCCTAACACGTCTTAAGAAACATATTTTAGTGCACTGTTTGGCTGTAATACGAGAAATTGTGACCAGGAAGTGGACTGCACACTGTTTTCTACACCAGTGGTTCCCAACTGGTCCAGTCATGGGGTCCAGACTAATTAATTCGAGGTCCACACAGTTTTAATAAGTAGCTTTCTGTTAGTCACTCACTCTACAGCAGGAAATGGCACTTCAAAATAAGAGCTCTGTGCTGGAATTTACAGTACTTACACTTACAGTACCACAATCCACTTTTGGACCACGACCCACCAGTTGGGAACCACTATCCTAAATTGTTAAAACAGAGGCCGAAAAAAATGTGCTCAAACTGTTAAACTAGGCAGTGCTGATCAAATATAAACCAAGATTATGTCACTGTGTCGCCTATTTCTTGCCTAAAATGTTCTCAGAAACATATTTCAGTGCACTGTTTACATGTAATAAAAGATCATTTGTTACCACCTGGCTGCCATATTGTTTCCTGTGTCCAAACAGCCAAGCTTGAATGACATCACCCACCAACTAGCAAGAGCGTTTACTGGTCTGCGGCGCAGTGCATTCTGGTAGTTGTAGGTTTTCTACCTCTTGAGCAAAAGTGGATCCCACAGCCCCTTTCCTCTGTTTTTTCTGGTCATGTAGCTCCAATTTCAAATGTATTTGCCTCTGCATAGACAGCTCCATTTTATGAAAATATCATCTTTCCGGCAGTGAAATATTTCTTTAATTTTATTCCTTAAAGTAAGTCTGTTTCATGTTTTCATTCACTTTGTAAAATTGAGCACTGACGGGATAAGTTCACCTTGTTGCATGATGAAATAGGAGACTGCTTTTGTGCAACTGCAGAGATTGTGCCGAGCAGCAGGTTTGCTCAGTGTTATTGTCTGTTACTGAAAAGGAAAATATCACTGAGCCTTTCCTTCAAACATTTAAAGTGCCAAGCTGTCTTGTAAACAGACAAATAATTGTTTGCTTTGTGTGTATCCTCGAGTTGTAGACAATATGTTGAATGTATTTCCTCCCTCATAAAACATTTGCAAAGCGGGTTTATGTTTGCATCCATGTGCACTAGCTAAAACTCCTCTTACTAATTGTCCTTACTGGTGCATTACCACCACATGGGTGTCTTTAATTTTGTTTTCACCATCCACAATATCCTTCAATGACTGAAACTTGTAAGAGAAAACACAATCAGTCTGACCTCTGGTTTAAGAAGTGGTATCTTACTACTATCAACCACTCTTTTCAGCAGTAACAGGAGCCCTGTGAGCTCTGAAATAACAGTGTGAACACTTCTAATATTTATTGTCCTCCTGATCCCCACAGAGACGGCACCATGGAGCGAGAGAAGGGTACATGACACATGTCAGGGCATCAGGAGAGCAAAGATCAACACAGGCTGATTAATCACATTGTCACCAACCACACGCACACTTGGGGTTAGTCCTGCTGGCCGTGCAACAGGTTGGGAGACGAGTAGAGCGGGGGAGGGGAGGATTCACAAGGTCCACAGTGTTGTTTTAGGGTTTGCACTGAGGGATTTAGGCGTGAGTTACTGCTGGGAGATCCTGAGCCATGTGACAAGGAGGGGGAAACAGGTTGAGAAGGTTAGCACGGAAACGTGAAGAGGCCCAAGACAGAAAGTGACGATAGGGATTGACGGAGGGAGGGGAAAGGTCCGGGACGGCAGGACAAACCTTGAGGTACTGAGATTTAAGTGTGTGTCCGGAGGGAGCAAGTGTCCGAAGCAGGGGGTCATTGGGATCCAGGTCAGGGGTCAGGGGTCAAAGAGAGGTAAAGAGGGATATACTGACATTAGGAACAAAAAGAAAGGTGTGTGTGCACGTAAATATAAATCTATATGTCTGAGCATGTTTGTGGGTTTATGTAAACGTGATTCTTATTTGAATTTTACATGTAGTTGCATGTGCAGTGTCTGTGTACCTTTTTGAGCTTCTTGGTCTTGGCCTCCACCTCCTGCTGCAGAGAACTGAATGTCTCTCTCAGCTCCACGGTCTCTTCGTCTCGGACCAACATCTGCTGCTGTATCTCCCTCTCCCTGCGCGTCTGAAAGCATTACCTAAAATGTCAACTTTCTGTCTTTCTATCGGCATATATTCTGATATCATTTAATATTTAAGGATCAGGTCAGAAAACAAAACATCCATATCCATTTAGAGCTCAACTAACCGTTATTTTTCAGGAGAACACACAGGTTTACCTGCTCAGCGATCTCTTGCCTCTTCATCTCCAGCATCTTCTGCTGCTCGTTGGTGTGATCGATGATGTTCTTTCCACCAACCAGAAGCTTGCTCTCCATCGCCTGAGGGAAAAAACAGAACATGTGGGGTCATATTTATGATGAAGAAGCTGTATTGTGTCCCTATAGCAGCTGCAGTGCTTGTAAATAAGCGATGCGTCCAGACTTTGACAAATTTGTTACTATACATCAAAAAAATTATTTTTCAGTTCGTTTTTTTATACTTCATACTTCATAAGGTCGGCTATAGATGCTATAAAATGAAACCTGAGTAAGTAGGTAGTAACATTTTATAAAACAATAACTGCTGAATTTATCTGGAGATTTTAAATGTATTAAAGTAAAACTGTCAATTGTAAATGCAGTTTCTGTATTTTGGTGACTACTCTGAGCATCACTGTTTGGTTATTGCAGGATATAGAGGTCAAACACATAGTTTTGAGGACACCATGGCAGAGTGGGAATCTGTTAGTGAAAAAATCAGAGATTCTGAGAATTATTTTTAAATATTATTTTAAAAAAAGTCCTAATATTACAAAAAAAGTCATCAATTTCTCAGAAAACAGTCATTATGTTACAAGATAAATTTGTAATATTTTAGTATAGTTTTAATTTGACAAGGAAAAAGTCATAATATTTGTGAGACTGAGTTTCTATCATTCTATTCTACTGACATCATGATCAAGGAACAGAAATGTGCTGTAGCTGGCATTAATAACTGATAGAAACAAAACTAGAAAATGTGTCTATAAATATACTTCAAGGACAAGCAGTGAGTGTCTTTTTTTGAGGTCAAACTAAGTTCATTTGGATAGCCTACAGTCAAGTGTGTGTGTGTGTGTGTGTGTGTGTGTGTGTGTGTGTGTGTGTGTGTTGGAGCTGCAGTCAGTGCAGACATTGTGCTGATGAGGCAGACGGAGCTGGAAGTGGGCAGATTAACATCCATGATGACACCATCCGACAACAAGCTGAGCTCGGCTAAAGCATTGCAGACATGAATCACTTTTAAAAGTGTCTGATAATCACTTTGGTCCAGACTGAGATATCTCAACAACTATTAGATGGATTGCTATGAAATTGTATACAGACATTTATGGCTCCCAGAGGATGGATCTGACTTTGATGACCTCCTGACTTTCTATCTAGTGCCACCAGAGTGTCAAACTTTTCCAAACCAGTGTTTTTTGACTAGAAATTTAACCACACATTATCCAAATCATTGTTCAAGTGTAAAGAATCTGATAAATAACATGGAAATGTAATGTATCAATGGTTTGCATAAAATTTTTTTCTGGCAACTGGCTTGACTAAGATGGTTACCATGGTAAACACTGCACCTGCCTTTCTCCAGTATGTTGGCATTGTTAATGTGAACATGTTAGCACGCCCACGCTGAACACTTTCTGTGACTTCTCAATGACTAGAGCACTTAGCAAATTAAAAAAGTATTTGACACATGAATAAGTATGAAGCATTGCTCTCTCTGAGTGCTTTCTAGTCATCACTTCTACCTTTTAAAAGGAAAATCTGTGCTGCATATTTGTGTCATAACTCCGACGAAGAATCATTATCATTTCATGCCTCTGGTTACGGCGCCTTTGGTTACCGTGGAGATTAAAGGCCTGAGGTCCCAGTGATGCAATCTGTCTTGAAGGTGAATTACACAAAAACACACACATATGATCGCACACATGATATATGTCCCGCGGGCAGAAATCTAAAATGAACACGGAGAAGAAGAGAGACGAGAAACAGGAGAGGGAGAGAAGAGAGGAAAAAGGAAAAGAGGAGGGGATACAGAGAAATAAAGGGGGCCCAAAAAGGGCAAACAGGGGCCACGGCCATTTTGTATTGGCCACATTCCAGCCCCAGGACTTTATACAAAAAGACAGTGTGTGTGTCAACAGTGTGCAGCCTATACATTCTCTATTACTAGTGCATACACACACACAGAAACACACACACACTCAGACTCATGCAGAGAGTACAGTGGAGTCCTTCAGAGATGATGCGTCTGCAGCAGGTCTTTACAGAAAGACTCTTTGTTTGGAGCTGTCTTTGTGTCCTACATGTATGTGTGTGTGTGTGTGTGTGTGTGTGTGTGTGTGTGTGTGTGCCTGGTTTGCTACTCTTTGTGTTTTGTCATATTCTTTCAGCTTCATTAAAGGGCTTATTCATGTAAAAGGTTTTGTCTCTCATGCATCCCATGTCTCTCCCCCTCTGACAGGCTGGCTGGAGGGATGCAAATCCTTTACGTACAGGCTTTTGTGACTTAAATGGACATCTTGACACTTTACATTCAGCCAGGCACACATACTGTGCTGCTATCTGGCACAGAAAATGCATATTCATGTTTTAACTGTAGTAAAATATAACAAGATCCACTGTGAGTCTCACTGGGTTCATGAAGCTGTCTCAAAACACCACTTTTAATTCACAGAAGCAGCAACATCCAATTAAAATCTAATAGTGTTTTGGTTCACTGTACACGTCTCGCAGTTATCCAAAAACAGCTTGCTAGAATTTAGTTCATATAAGAAAACAAGTGCACTTTGCTCTTTTACTGCACTAAATTAAGTGTTAAAGAACTGCAATTTTTTGAGGGAAAGTTGAGCATCATGCTCTGATGGAGCTTCACGTCAACAGTTTTGTGAATAAAATTCATAAAAAATAAAGACATGAGCTGTTTCTTTTGCTTTTTAACCACGGGAGTGTTCTCTGTTTGGGGAAACAAACACTTAACCAGTGTTTTTGGTTGAAATCATGTGGTGCTCTCAGCTGCAGGAGAATGCCCCATTGCCAAAAAGAATCTTTGTCCCCATCTGAAAAACATGTGCCATTGAAATTAAGTTAATAAAGCTAGTTTAACTGTCGTCAACATTAAAAAAGCACTAGTCACTACACTCACACAAAACGACAGCTTGAGTTGTCTCAATGCATTTCTACTGGAACATGTTTACATGCTTTATTGTTAAAAAATACTTTGATTTCCTTGTACTGTCTGTGCTGGAACATCTGTATTCACCCTCTGTCTGAGATGCTCCATTTTATTACCCTTCTCATTAAGCCCCCCTCCCAAAAAAGCCCAATTTGCTTTGATTGGTCAGCATTTCCCAGTCTTCCACATCTCCGTGTCTCTGCATTGCAGCTGGGAATGACTGTAACAGTTTGTGACGGCACTTTCTACTGTGAAAAATGACCAATAAAAGCTTGTTCCAGCAGGAATATAAGATGAAATCAGGAAGAAACTAACTACATCTACAACCATGATTACATGTTTCCCTGATGTTAGCATGTAGCTACATGTAGCAGTGTATGTAATGTAAATACTTGCAGCAGCGTGCCTGAAGCAGATGACCATATAAAGAAATCAGTCGTGATCTGAAGTCAGCTTGTAGACAAAGTAGAAAAAAATGCTGGAAACAGAGTATTCAAGAATGGTCTGAGGGCTTTTACACATGTTATCTTGTTGTTTGACACTGTAACACTTTATATATATGACAGAAAATAAGGAAAAGCAGAATGGGACCCCTTTAATTTAAGTCTGTGCAACACATTTTCAAATTCACATTTCAAAGTCAGGGGATAGTCCACAGAACAACAATAAAAAAGGTTTTAAGCTAACATGGAGAAGTCTTTTAAGTGCTTAGAGAAGTGTAAATTCTAACATTTATATTTCTATAACAACTCCCTCTGCTGATGAAGATAATGTACTATGATGTAAAGCTGATCTAATGGCTACTAAATGTACCATGTGGCTCAATTTCAAACCATCAACCTCAAAAGAAATCCTGCTTCGACGTCATTACCAATTTGATTCCACCGTCTAGAAGGAAATGAACTTGTCTTGAAATTTACCACAGTCACGGTATACTATGACAAGAACATCAGGTTTTCAATGTTCAGGTCAAGCAGCTATTTCACATCTGAACTGATGTCACAAGTGACAATGAAAGGAGGCATAAGAGGAGGAGGAGGAGGAGGAGGAGGAGAGATGACTCAGTGAAGAGTCCAAATGACCTTCAATCACATGAGAGACGAGCCACTTGTCATTTGAGTCATTATTCTGTTTCCAGGCCTCCGAGCAGATTGATGTTTCAGTCTCTCTCTCACACACACACACATGCACCCGCACCCGCACGCACGCGCGCGTGCACACACACACACACACACACACACACACACACACACGCACACACACACACACACACACACACACACACACACACCCATGCACACAGATGCAGTCAGGATGTCTGATGTTCTCTAAAAACCTTCCTCCATCTACCTCACAGTCCTCAGCAGGCTCAGATTTTGTCCTCTCTGTTTCTCAAATGCTCAATCAATAAAGCAGATTTAATATCTTACAATGTGTGTGTGTGTGTGTGTGTGTGTGTGTGAGTGTGCTTTAGATAGATTTAAACTCTCAGCAAGGTCCATGCAGCGACATATTTATCTCCTTGTCTGTGCAGGTGTTGCCATTGCTCTCCAACACTGTAGTAAATGCTGCTGTGGATTAATCTAGATGAGATACTTCTACGTGTGACGTTCCTTGTTAAAACTTTTAAGAAGAAGCCAGATTTATACCCCAAACTGAATCACCACCGACACATTTTAGAATCAGGCTGAGTTTCAGCCTGATAGCTTGTATGCTCACAACACCTGATTAGGTCTCATGAACAACCAATAATCTGGCTGTTGGGTGGTTGGTTGTATTTGGGGCACGTGTAAAATTTTGGTTGACTGTCTTGCAGCTCTTCTGAAGTTGTTTGCTTGTTTTAATATAACTGGTGTAGTATTTTACACTAAAAAACTGTAGTCTTGTCTGAGACTGTGGTGATATAGACCTGCACTTACAGCAGACCAGACTGCATCTCAACTGACCTCAGTGTTTGGGATAAACTAGTTACGCATAACATAGTTATATATTTAAATTACAATAATAAATGTACTTGTAATCAGCTACAGTTAATGATAAAAAATGTAATTAAATTACATAAATTACTAATCAAAATGTTGCTGATGACAAATGGGGTTACTGAATCGATTCTCCTCAGCAAAAA